ACGAGTTTCCCGTTGGCATCGTGCCAATAACCGCTACGGTAGATACGGCTGCATGTATGTACTCATATATCCATGCAGCACCGCAGCCGCTTCATATCAATCCCTTCGCTTCATACTGTACTTCGCAAATGAAATACGAGCATTGGGGTTGGTCGGACATTTGTGGGCGGGCGGGCGCGGTAGGGCGTCGGGTCGGGATGTCGCAGCTTGATAGGGCGCTACAAGGGTACCTTTCTTGGAGAATGCCACACGCAGCGCTTTCAATGGCGCCGAACTCGGTGTTGCCGCGCATGATAGCCCTACACGTCTTGGAGATTTATCCTGCCAACTGCCTTTGAGCCACGACATCGTAGAGTCGGCAGGATGGGTGCTATGAGCGGGGAAAATACCTCTGGCTTTGCCACTGATTTCCGATGAAGTGAGCACTTCCATAAGGAGGTGAAATAGGAGGTCTTAAATACACTGGTGGCGTGGTGGAGCTTGAAGCTTCCCCCGATAACTTGAAACGCCGCCTCATCCGCAATCGCCTGTACGATCGCACATGCGAAACATCCCACTTGTGGCTGTCCCGGTGGTAGACAGGGAAACTGCGCGATTGCCGGTGCGATCTACGGTACCTCTCGCCAGGCATTCAGTACGAATACATAGACGTCAAGACCCCTTCATGTGCGGGTCAAGGAGCATTTATACGGAAAGGTCACATAGGGTACACCAACTGCTCTGGGTTGCCATAGGGTCGAAACTCACCACGGAGATGATTTTGAGGCCACGGTCAAGATCTTGACGCGGCGCACGCCATTCAAAAGTCCGCGTGCAAAATTCTGTATATAGTTTGAATCCGGGTCAGGAGCCCAAAATGAGCCCCAGAGAAGAATGGCTGTCGGTCTCGCGGGAACTAGCCCCTATATGAGGTGAGCATTTCAACCGGAACTTTGAGCACGATTAGCCGAAAGTCCTCCGCCACCCTTGGTTCTAAGCTGATCTCGTGTTCTTGTAAGGTATCGCTTTACTTCCTATCAATCATATGATGAATAAGGGTGTTCTCGAAAATCTCGCAGGGGGCTTGGCACTTGATCGAGTAACCTGATGACTCGATTGAGATCTTTCAGGCTCCAAAGAAGACGATATCGTCGAATTTTTGGCCACTCATATCTCTTACCACTCTCGTGTCGAGTCAAAAGCTGAGTAAAATTTCTGCTGTTACGATGCCGGACTTCATCGAAAGTCGTATGTGGCGACAACGGCTTGACTCCGCCTATACGACTAAAATGGTCTTGTCCTTCCGATTCCAATCTTTGTGGACGTGAGCGCATAGCATAACTTACCGCTCGAACTCTCACGCATAGTTCCACTGCTGCTTTCTACATTCTCTATCTTTTCCAATTCTATTTGTGTTCTTGCAATGTCAATACGAAATAAAAATAAGGCCAGTGTAAGTGTAGTGCACAGAAGCAAACCAAATGATAGCCGTAAGCAAGAAGGAAGAGGTCAGACACAAGCACAGTAACACAGTGAAACGCTAGTGTCGTATCCGCATTCCTGGAGCGGCCAGAAGATTCCTGTAACAGTATTGAATCTCATTTGAGTCTCCTTGAAATTGCGTAAGGCTACTATAATTTAGGTACATCTAACAATTTGACCAACAGCTAAAGGGTATGAACTGCTAATGTACGTATTTCGACAGTCAACGAAGGGATCATGTGCAATCAGTCACAACTTTCTCACTACTACCAGGTTATAAACAATTCAATGAATCGATTCAATGAACCTTTCTCGTTACGCATAACAAACTTACTCATCAACACAATCGTAACTTCACCAGGATGAGAGAGGTCAGCGAAATACAAAAAAGGTGACAGACATCTACTCTACATGGGATCTCTTCTGGGTTTGTGCAGTCTTGCATTGGTTCCAAATTTGGAAAGTACGTGCCATAATGTACTAGAGCAATGCTTGGAAGAGGACAGTGGCGAATCTTCAACAATAGCTCAAAAAAGTCTAGACGAAGAGAACAAAGGTATTTCAAATGCGCCTTTGGATGCACCGATCTTGTATTTCTCTGCGACTCTCCCGTCCTTACGACATTCTATGGACATTGTGACACACGCATTCCCGCTGTGGCTAACCGACCCCAAAATCCCGTCCCCAAGAGAAAGCACATATCCCGGGTTGCCCAAAATGTTTCTTACACATTTCAATGCTTTGGCTGCCGCTGTACTCTATCTCTCTGCATTGCTTAGTTTCGCAACGGGACCATGCACAGAAAATGTTTTGTTCCAGCTAACTTGCCTCGCTTCTATAGTTTACAATGAGAGCATCATGCTAATGTCACCGCACTCTACTCTGGTTCATC